AAGTAGATAGAATATTAAGGTTCTATTGGGGTTATATAGGGATAAAGGAAAAGAAAATGGAATCGATTATTTAGGGTTTAGGGTTTGGCGTTATAGTCCCCCTTAAGTATATAGAATATGGGGTCTATTGGGGTTATATGGGGATAATGGAAAAGAAAATGGAATCTACAATTTAGGGTTTAGGGTTTGGGGTATATAGTTCCCCTTAAGTAGATAGAATATGGGGTATATGGGGATCTTCTTATAATGTACCCAAAGCCAGATTCTATCTACTTAAGTAGGAGGTTGTGGATTGTTTTGTTTGTTACGATGTTTGCAATCTGCTGCTCGCAGAAGACCGGAACTTAGGAAAGACCGGATCCTCAGCTTTTTGGTTCAGTCCCCGAAGCCATGGAGAAGTGTGCTGAAAGGCCTTGGCATCATGAGACAACACTCAAGTCCCAGTTTTGTTTTTCATGTCCTTGTCCAAGTCATTCTCAGTTCTTGGCGTAGAAAATATCCTATGTAATCCTTATTATATGTCACCTAATATCCCTCTATGACTCTGATATCCCTAGAACCTGTATATAGCTCTATAATATACCTAGGCAACCCTACCTTTCCTGGCAGGCAGGAGATTCGTTCTCAAAAGTTGGCTGAGCAAGAGATAAAGCATGAGGTCACCGGATCTGATTCAGCTTAGAGTTTAGGTTTTGCGTGAATATATGCAAATGCTGTATTTTGGGTGAACGTTATCTTTGTTTTGAGGGGTAGGGGGTCTAAGGGATTGATCACACTTGAAACCTTTCCCAGCCAAAAGCCGAGAAGACCCGAACGGCGAATGCATGTTGGCTCTAGACAACCCTAAACTCAAAAACCTAAACAACTCAGGTCAAGGAAAACTACTTGGACCTCACGACCACCGGGTCCCTTGATTGCCTGCAGAGCGCTCAACTTAAATGCTCAAGACTCAATCAGTGGGCTGGGCTGAGCACCCAAGTCTCTGGTGAAAATGACTCGGAACCAAGCCCCCGCAGAGCTTCAGGAGCCTCAGCCCCTATCCGAGGATTTTGGCGATTTGTGGAGTCATTCCTGACTTTGGGAAGTTGGCGGCACCCTTGGGTCTGGGCGTCGATTTTTCCACTCGCTTCGGTGACATATGCTCATTGATCCTAGGCTTGTATTAGTGGGTTTAGGGGGCTTAGGATCTAGGGTTTGGGGTTTAAGGGTTTAGGTGTAGATTGCACGACCTCCGAGAATGGTCTCTGTTCTTCACATTTGTGCAGGGTTTCGGTCTGTCGGACGGTTGTCTGCGACACCGGACGTGGCGTCTGCATCCGGGACACAGAGGGTTGGTTCCTAGAATTGGAGGGGCAATCTCATGTGGTACTTTCCCTGCATAGGGGACCCCAATATAGAGACCCCAAAATACGATCATCCTTAATTATAGGGACCCCAAAAAGGTACCCGTAATTTTGGGAACCCACCCTAAACCCCAAACTCCCAAACCCTAACCCTAGACCCTAAACCCCTCATTTTGGGAGCCCCCCCTATACCCGAGATCAGATGCCAGCAACAGGAACTAGGCTAAGGCACAATTCACTTCAGAGCTTTGGCAGACTGAAAGGTGCATAAAAGCCATAGGGTTTAGGGTTTTAGGGTTTGGGGTTTAGGGTTTGGCTCTGCTTGCAAAACCCCAAAGCCTAGTCAGCAGGCATAATCCGAACAGCAACTGAATAGAGCAACAACCTGAAGCGCTGACTGCTATTCACATTGCGGTCATATTTGTTATTGTCTTTATTATCTTCATTATGATTATTGTTTTGTGGTTGCGCTTTGGTACATATCCTTTATGCCTTTAAGCCCGAACCAGGATCGTGGAGTTTCTGAGCGAGACAACCAGTTTTGGTTTTAGCCAGTACTGGAACGCCCAGCAACGCTACTATGGAGAGAACGAGGCCTGGCTCTCCTTAAGTAGATAGACCCTAACTTGCTATAAAAATGATAATAGTGTTACAATATACTACAATAGATACTATAGTCCCCCTTCAGTAGATGGAATAGGGGCATCTTACCATGATTGAGACAATTACATATTCTACTACTTGAGGGTGACTTTAGGCAGGGTTTTTGTTTTACGTTTTAGGGGTTGCCGTCGAGGAACTTAAATTAAGTTAGTGGAATAAGGAAACCCCATCATACACCGTATACGCATGTCATGGTGACTTAGTTCAGGTTCCTTAACAGCAACCCAGTTTAGGCGGTTCCCCTTCAGCAGCTGCTTCGGTGTGCCTGCGTCAATGTAAAAGCAAAGACATGGATGAAGATCCCGTGACATTCTAGCATAGGACGTAAATCCATGGATCAGGATCTCTAGGTCTCGGAGGGTACGAAAAGTTGGGAAGCCTTGAAATTTCGCAGGAAAGCGCAGATCTTGCCATTCAGAATAACAGGGGCACTGCAGTGCTGTATCGTTCTTACTCTATACACTTTCACACGCATTCTTTTGGCTTGTTCTCAAGATTACGGCCCCTTCTGGTTACAGATTATATGACACCTAATATGGAAGATTACCAAAATCGGACCTAATTTTGACAACTACCCTTTGCACGGTTTGCCTCGAAGTTGTGAGATGGAAGAAATCGTTGGCAGGCTTACGACACCTGTTCCGATTACACGGACGGCCAGATGTTCAAGGCCATGGAAACAGGGAGTCAAAACGCAGGGCCGAAGTGCGATGAATCCTTGTTGTTTTCTGGGCTCGTACATCTTGGAACCCAGAACGCTATGTAGGAGTTTAGACTATGGCTCATATATTCTATAATCCCTATAATATCACCCATTATAGTAGTTTCCATGTTATTTTCCATTATCCCTAGACAGATGCTTTAGTCTTAATGAGCCGCCTTGAACTCAAGTAGCTGCGCCTTCGATCAGCGAAACATCTTTGCGACGCTACGCACGTGAATCTAGGACTTGCAAAGGATTTGGGGTTTGGGGTTTAGGGTTTGGGGGGGGGCAGTCAGCAGTAAGCTTTGTAAGCTTTGGAGTCTTTCATCAACTTAGTGGGGCTAGACATCGACGGGGAGTCAGTCTACGCACAGCTGTAGAGCAACTTAAAAGCGTACATGGGCTGCCCACGAAGCACGGTTGCAAGATCCCAGCGACATGCAAATACTCGGAAGAACTATATGGGTATTTCTCAATATAACCCTTATATAATCCCTTAAGGGGGCCCTATATAATCCCCATATAATCCCTCTATACCCCTTGGGGTCCCTAGGGCCCCCCCTTTTTGAGAAACTCCCATATTCAAAGTGTGGTCTTATCGCAAGTCCCGGCATTGGCAGACCTTCTGCGACATGCACTGCATCGAAGACGCTGTGCTGAAGGGGAACTCGGCGATCCTCAAATCCTTGAAGACACAGGAGACTGGGTTGCTGTTAAGGAACTTAAATTAAGTTACCATAATGGGAATATATAGTAAATAATAGGGTTTCCCCAATAAAGTAACTTAAATTAAGTTCCTTAACAGCAACCCAGGAGACTCATGTGGTCACTACCGTGCACGACATGCTGAAGTGGTACACCAGCGAGCTCTTCGACAAGCTGAAAGAGACCCAAGATCAGAGCTCACACAATTTCTTGGAGCAAGAGCGGGTTCTCAAGGCTTACTTTGAGCAGATGGCTGATATGGAGACAGGCTACGCAAACCAGGTGCAGTGGTCACAAAGGAATTTCCCGTGGGTAAGGTTGTATGGTAGTAATGATATGTAACATTAACGGTTGTAGCAATGGTCACAGTAGAAGTAATAGTAATAGCAATAGTAATAGTAATAATAGCCACATGTTATGCACCTGCTGCACCTTTTTTTGCCAGCTTGGCCTGCAGTTAAGGTGAACACGCAGATCGATCAATTGGGCGTGGATATCAACAGTCGCTTCAAGAGCAACGTTGATCACCTCAACGTGTTGCAAAAGCACCTGAAGACTGTGAACGATAACATCATCAGTTTGGCTAACTGGCTGGGCAACCAGCCTATGTTTCTAGGTGACGCAACACTTCGGGATGATGGATAAGTTTCCCTATTTCGGTATAAGGGACCCTACTGGGTAGGCCCCTGAAATATTTAATATTTTCCCTAGTGGCTTTAATAAGGGACCCTACATACTAATATTTTTCGAAGGGCTTTTGGGGCCAACCCAGACTATTAAAACGTAACTTTGGGGGGCCTTTGACGTAGCAACCAGGTTTGCTAACGATGACGACCACAGCTTCACTCCTCCGCATTCCGTTCTGCTGCTTGGACCTGCTTAGGGTTTAGGGGTTAGTGTGTAGGGGTTTAGGGTTTAGGGTCCTGAAACTCCTAAGCAGTGAAGACAGTAGTGTCGACGAGCTCTACATCTGTTACATGTACAACATGGTTGTTTCCATAAACACCTAAACCCTAAACCCCAAGCACCATAATCCCATAAATCCTGACTATCAGCAATCCCAAAATGTAACCCTAAATTTGGGAAGCCCCCACATGACCAAGGCAGGGTGCAGACCCATCGATGGTCATCGACACCAGAGGCATGAACCTGGGTTGCTGTTAAGGAACTCAAACTAAGTTTTTCATGATGGGTATATATAGTAATCAAGATGGTTTCCCAATGAACTAAGTTTTTCATAATAGGTATATATAGTATTTTATAGATGGTTTCCCCAACGTAGTAGTAACTGGTTCTTCAACAGCAACTCAGGAATTCGAGCTTCCTGCGGTCTCTGCAGAAGCCTGCGCACGTGGAAGTCCAAGAGAATCTCTTACCGGTCCAGCGGGTATCCTTTAACAGGGCTCAGGGTTAACATTTGTGGGGTAATATACAACCCAAGATAGATGACAGCAAAGATCTTCGGTAGGGAGCGCTAAGAGACGTGGCAACAGTTGAAACTACTGCCTGGATACCAAAAAGTCTTCTGCAGACTAGTACCCCTAAACCCTAAACCCTAGACGACTCAGGAATTTTGGTGCGGCACAGATGGCTTTGGCGGACTTACTGGCTCACATACACCAAGCTTACAGTGACCTGGCTAACAGGCAGTCGGCAGGCCATGATACTCGTTATATATGCCCTACTATAATATAGCTGTTTCCATTTTCTTTTCCCCTATTCCTATAGAATCCTTATATCAGCCCTATAGAACCGCTATATAACTCCCATAGTGGCTTCCAAGAGGTTTGACGCCCACAAGAGGCTTGATTAAGTCTCATTGGGAACCAAGGTCCCGAGTCAGCAAGTGATGAGGAGCAAATCGTACCGTTACTTACTGACTTACTGGTGCTTCAGGGAGAGTGAGGGACTGAACATTGGGATTACTAAATTGGTATATATGTGGATTATATAGGTGTTATTGTCCCAAAACCCAAAACCCTAAACCTATTATTCCCTCTAAACCTAAACCCATTATTCCCCCTAAACCCTAAAGACCTTATACCCCCTAAACCCTAAACCCGTTATTCCCCCTAAACCCCAAACACATTATACCCCCTAAACCCTAAACCCAGTATTCCCTCTAAACCTAACCCCATTATTCCCCCTAAACCCTAAGCCCATTACTCCCCCTAAACCCTATGATTCCTTGAGCACCTGTAAGGTTGCTCTCCGGCCTTCAATCCGAGCTTCAGCAACTTCGGCGCCAGCTTTTTCCCTCGGCCGAGGTGGCTCTGGTTCCTGCAGCCAGATTAGGGCTCTCTGTAGGGTTTAGGGTTTGAGGTTTAGGGGTTTAGGGTTTAGGGTTTTGTGTTGAGGGTTCAGGGTTTATGGTTTCCAGTTTACGGTTCGGGTTTAGGATTCAGGGTTGAGGGTTCTATACGAGTTACATAGGGACTAAACTAAGCCCTGTGTGTCATACCTTGGATGCGAAAGCCTAAATTCAGACGCTTGCCATTTGCCCCAGGCAGCCGCTAACACCAGCCGCGCGGTGGTCCAGGAAACGGGGTTCAAAAACAGCGTACTTTGTGACAAGTTTTTTTCTGAGTACAGTCCCCCTTAAGTAGATAGACTATGGCTTTGGGTATATTATGATTAGATCCCCATATACCCCATATTCTATCTACTGAAGCGGGACTCTAGATTCGAGATTTCCTACGTTTGTTTGACAGCTCGAGGATCCCTAAGCAGTCCCCTATGGCAACGATATATTCCCTTCGTGTTAAGGGTTTAGGGTACCCTATGAAACCGCTATATCCCCATTGGTACTAGCTATGTAGGCCCTCTGGAACCGTGTTATCTCCCGTTAAAGGGTTTCTTTCAAGACCAGGCCTTGCGACAAGCCCATACCAGCCTACAGGCTCTGCCAAGGCAAGGGTTTGGGGCTAAAGGTTTAGGTTTAGGGTAAAAACTTTAGGGTTAAGTGCGTAAGGCTTAATGTTTAGGGTTTAGGGTTAAGTGCGTAAGGGTTGAGGCTTCGGGTGTAGGGCTTAAGGTTTAGGGTGGCTAGGGCTTAAGGGTTCATTGCTGTGCGCAAGCCCGGATACTAAAAGGGGTTCAGTGCTGAGGCAAGGTGTGGAGGCTACATTCAAGCGGCGAACCCATGTCGCCCTGAAGCCTGCTGCTGGGATAGTGAAAAAGAAGATGAGTATAGAGCTTCTATAGGGGGTTACGTGAGTTTGGGGTTTAGATTTCAGGGGTTATGTAGGGACATATTACCTCTGAATAATGGAGAAGTAAAGGGAGAAGAACATGGAAACTGGAATAGAAACCAAGTGACAAGTCAAGTGGACAAGAACACGAAATAAAAGCTAGGGTAGATTCTGGGATATTCTTTGGAATATCTTTTTAGTATTATGGAGAATGATCATTAGAACCCTTATATTTCCAGAGGGCCCCTAAATGGTAGTTTCCTCAAATAGGGGGAAAGCCCCACATATTCCTATAACACTATATATCCCTATAAATAAACCCCTCTATATATATCGCAATAAAACCCTATGTAGGGCTCCTAAATCTGTCTGAGGCTGTGCGGCGCTGGCAAAAGCAAGCCTTGGTGGTGGCCGGGGTTTCGTCCAGCCTCTCGCAGTTTCTGGGTTAAAAATAGAGGGATTTTGGTAACCCCAACCCCCAAAGTTAGGACCCTATGACTATCATATGATGGTCATAGGGTCCTAATTTTGGGGGTTGGGGTTACCAAAATCCCATTGTTAGTCAAGGAACTTAAATGAAGTTACCATAATGAGGAAACCATGGTTTTTACTATGTACCCCGGGTATGGTAACTCAAAACCAAAACCCTATATACCCATAGTATGGTAACTTGATTCTAAGTTCCTTCACCGCTACCCAGGTTCGGTATGAGGCCAAATCTCGCAAGCGTGGATGAGCACGCTAGCCAGGACCGGCGTTATGACTACCAGAAGCTGGCTTGCTGTTAAGGAACTTAGATTGAGTTGCCATAATATGGCTACATTGTAAATAGCAGGGTCTTCTGACTACAGTAACCTAGGTTAAGTTCCCTAACAGCAACCCAGGAAGCTCATGACGTCAATCCACCGGGACGTCAGTGAGTACATCCAGAAAGCCCAAATCCACGTGGATGCCCACAAAAGCACACTGCTCCAATTGCTAAGTGCAAATGCCACGCAGCTCGGATTATTCGTGGCAGATTTCAGGAAGCGCACCACGTTTTTCACAGACGTTGGGTGCTAACCAGTACCACGAAGCATGGGTGGGCTGAATAAGGAAACCCTAAATCCTATATATCCCTATAAGGCCCTATATCAATCTCTATAAAAGCTTATATTAAACCCTATAAAAGCCTATATCCCAATGCCAAAGGCAGAGCTGCAAGTCGAACATAGTGGAGACCGGCCGCCTCGTTGCCCAGATGCAGCGTACAGAAGAGGTGCCGGCCTAACTTCTCCCTGGTGCTTAGGAGGAAATGGGGAACAGATTATAGGGACTATTATTAGGGATTATATTGGGACTACTCATTACCTCCTAGACACCAGGGAGTCTTTTGTGCTCCTGTTTCGGGCTATTTATCTATCCTGGGTTTAGCGTTGTAAACGGTTTAGGATTTAGGACTTATGGGTTTAGGGTTTAGGGGTCTATCTATCTGTCGATCTATAGACATCCAGGGATTACCCAAGCATTTATGGGGATAATACGGGGATATGAAAGGTCTTCTATCCTCCTCTTTGGGACAAATACATGCGGAATTTCCCAAAACTAAGGACACCTTTTTAATTAGGGGTCCCTATAATTCGGATTTAGTGTTGTCTCACCCACTCATTTGATCACCAGGTAGCCTCTATGCAACCCAGTTTCCGCTTCATTTTTTCCATGTTCTGTTCCATTTCATTTTCAGTTTTTGGGGTGATATCCCTAGTTCCACCAAACCCTAAATAGTAGTTTCCATTTGCATTTCTACTATCCCTATAATATCCCTGCATTGTTGGGCCCCCCTATTTGTACCACATAGCTTGTCACCCTAAACCCCAAACCCTAAACCCTAAACCCCCAGCAATCTACATACTGCATGAGCTGCATGGGTTGTGTGCTGAATTTACAGTGACCGCTGGAAGCAAGAGCTGAGCAGCTGCATGCAGACTGCGTGAAACCCTCTTGGCAGCAAATGAGTGATGTGCATGAGTGAGCCGTAGCTTTGATTGTGATGAGCCTGCATGACTGAGTGAACCCTTCTTCTGAGCCGTTGTTGCTGTAGCGCTTTTCGCTGTGTTAATGTTCTCGGGAAAGCGAGTGAAATAGTAAACCCTTCAAGTCTTGCTGCGGGGTGTTTTCCTGCATCCCCCAAAGCAGGGGATAACCTGACCTGGAGGTTCGTTGCCGCTCCTGCACTCTGTGCGATGCGCGTGTCTAAACCCCCAACCCTGGTTCAGGAGCATATTTTTTCGCTGCGCCGGACTTGGCAGACCCTGGCTGACAACCTAGACTCCCTGGCGAATCTTCTGGCGGGGATAGGGTTTGGGGTTTAGGGAGATTATTTTAGGATCCTATAGGACCAGAAGGGAAAGTGTAGGGTTCAGGGCTTTAGGAACAAGCCTGTAGCAAAAAGGGCTCAGGGAGGGGAAATGATTTCCATACTGGCCAATGGGGGAAGAAGAATTTTGATCAACTAAACCCTTATCCCTAAACATTGGCATGTCGGGCTTTGAATTCAGTTTGCAGGGTTTGCCACATCTGCTAACTTGCAGCTAGTGAGCTTCGGGATATAATGAGGATTCACATGGGCAATAAAATGGAAGGTTGAATATCAAGTGTGTTTAAAGCCTAGCTCAAGGACCTAACACTAGCCCAAAACCCTAAACCCTATTCATGATGGGACCTGAATGTTAAAAAGCCCGCAGGTGGAAGGCGAGCTGTTGCTTTCGGAACTGCACCTTGGAGGGAAATGATTCACTGAGGGTTAGCAGGGACTAAGGCAATACAATCCCTATTAATCCCTATATGACCCCTGAATACTATATTCCCTTATGTCCTGCTACGGCAGTAACGCCCAGTTAGATGAACACATGTCAGGCTTCCCCCTTTTTTTTTCGGCATGGCACGGTGTAATCCCAAGCCATGGGATACTGGGCTTACTTGCCACGAAGCCCAAAGCAGATCTGCTGGAGTGAGAAGAATACAACCCCAAACAACGCAGGACATGCACTTCTGCTGTACCCTGACCGCAAGGCTTACCTGTCAGAGTGTAAGCCTCTCCGCTGGTAATTAACACCCCCAGCCTACCCTGGCCCACCCCCTCAATACTCCCCCCAAGATAGGGGGTTAAGTATTTGCGGGGCAGGGAGTCTATTATTCGGACCGCACAGATCAAAGGGCCACCATCCATGAAAGTTGGCCCCAAACCCTTCGACCCGTACCTTGAGTCTCGCTCCGGATTTCTTGGGTCTGAATACTGCCATGGCACCTCCTAGGTTGGGAAATTCCCGGTGATACCCAGGAATGTCCTACGGATTCTTTCACCCTATCATATACTCTAATATAATATAGTATAATATACTATATTATAGTATGATATAGTATAGTGCACTATAATATGAGGGCACCCCGACATCGGCTGAGGCACCGATCAGCCTTCCTCGATGAAAATGTCACGGAGTCCTTGCGTGCCGCAGCCGGAGCTTCTCGACTATCTTGTTCGGTTGTACAGTTCATGTAGCAAACAATGGAAACTACTACATTTTAATAGGGTATATATTGCGGTTATACTGGGATAATGGAAAATAAAATGGAGACTACTACATGACAATAGGGCAAATTTTCGATGTCAGAAGGAACCGTGCTATTGCCACAGACCTAGGAAAATTGCCGAAACTCCTGTCACCGCATATAAACCCAAAACCCAAAACCCATGTCACCCAAGGATGGTGGTAGCCTTGAGTTGGCGGTGCCTCGGGAATTTGGCAGAGCACACTTTCTTTCGACTTCAACCTGGTGTTAAAAGATGCAGAAGAAACCATGTCAAGGGCTCCCAGACCAGTCAAGGCCCACCTTTCACAGATAGAGACGTCGCTGGCGCAAAGCTTGAGCAGCAACCTGCTCCCCTTCATGCAGCAGCTCTCGAAGGCCTTCGATCTCAGCCAGTTCCTGGCTGACATGTGCGGCACTCAGTGGCTGCATGCGTGGGCCGGATTGGTGGAAACTTATAATCTTAGCTAAAGTGCGAGAACTGTGAGACACTGCGAATGCTAAGATCGCACACCAGGTGAAGAAAAAGCCATAAGATTGCAACAGGGTGCACAGCTGTATGCAGCGATGCAAGGAAGCCCAATCATTACTTTCAATGCCACTGGCACCAAGAGCCTGCATCCAGCCCAACCCTTCAAACTATAACCCCTTATATCAACATTATGTATGTGAAAAACAGAAACCTGTTAGCCCCTGCATTTCCCCTTTCTTCGGAGCCGTCAGGTGGGCTTGGTTGAAAGCCCCATGGTAGGGACGGCCCTAGCTTGCAGAATGACTGCAAGACAACAAGAATTAAAAAACAAAAACATGCTAAGGGTTTATGTGTGCAGGATTAGCATGTGGATTAAGGCGCATCCACTGTAAAACGATAATGAATCAAAATAAACGATAGGGTTTCAAATGGATACTAGACTCCGGGATAGGGCCTTCACATAAGCCCAGGTGGGTTTACGGCTCGTTCGATGTTCCGGGGGCGGAGCTCGAATTGGTGCAGGCGGCCTGGAGTCGCGCGGCCCAAACGGCACATGGACACTTGGGCTGTTGAAATATAGGGGTCATATAGGGGGGTTACAGGGATATACGGGGATTACACCGAAGAGTAGTGTAACGGAGAGATATATAGGGGTTTTATAGGGATATATGGGGATATGCTATGTCAATAATGGAGAATCAGCTGGAAACCAAAATGGAACATGAAATGAAAGCTGGGTTGATAGAGTGGCTTATCTGGATTAGGGTTCTCAAGAATTAGGGGTACCCTAGTGGGGGTCCCCATCATGAAGATTCCAGTATTTTGGGATCTTCGTTGGGGTCAATTAGAGGGAAGAATCAGCCCCTCGAAGTTCAACATGGGCTGGGCTGATGAAGCTGCGGTCCTTCCCACTGACGACGAACCATTTGCAAAGAATGTCTTATGGCTCCGGATTCTGCGATATATAGATGTGGTACGGGAGTGTGTAGGGGATCTCAACAAACAAGAACGTGCAGCGGGCACTTACGTCAGCCAGCTCTCTCAGGACTCTTGGCCCAGAACTCCTCCACGCTGCCGTTTCGGTTACTGCGATTGGCGGTGGACAGGGCCAGCGAGGCGCGAGGCACTGCAAACATATGGCTGTGCATGGCTGGCTGAAGCCAGGCAATATCCGCCAACGTCTTCATGGCTCCAGATATCTGCCGTGGCGGGATGCAGCTTTGGAAGCTGACGTCAGGCACGTAGAGGGCCATTTTGCTTGCACCGGCTGCGAATCATGATCACAAGCTGAGGCACACCTGATGCCAGCAGTAATTTGCAGCCACCACTTGCAGCAAGAGCAGGCATCATGGAAGTGACAACAGCGCTTAGATCCAATGAAAGCTCTGCTGGATGATGGTGCCACTATGTAACAGCGGCGCTGTCGCCATGGCAAAGCAGCAAGAGTGGTCTTGTGACAAACTCCATACACACGGCATGCGTGGCGTGTGCTCTGTGCGTGTGTGTATAGAAAGCTTTAGCAGCGCCTGTGCAAGATGGGAAGCTCTGGGAAACCTGCGTTCTCGGCAGCCTTCATATTTGCTTTCATTCGCAGGCCACGCAGTGGTTTTCGACGACAAGGGCCGCTTCTATCAGTGCGATTTGAAGAACGGACACCTGTCACCTCGACCGAACCGTGACCTGGCTTTATGGACAGCTTTAGATAGCACGCAGGATCAAAGTCACACAGATCTTCGTTTTCAGGAAGCCAGACATGGTTCCAAGAATGTCCCTTCCAATTCAGGCTTCACATTTTTCCTTACAGGAGGAATGTTGCAAATGTCATGGGTTTGTGGAAGTAGACGAGATGATGCAGCACCCTTTTTAATTTTTAACTTAATTACTCTGATCACCGGCAGGATACTACAGCGCGGCTATCAGCGGCGCCTTCTCCGCTCTTCTTCAGCAATTTCATGACCATATGAGCTGATGGTCGCTGGGCTCCACTTCAGAAGTCTGTCGCTGAATCATGATCAGAGGATATATGATCATTCGCGATTTCGTGACAATTGAACTTGCCCTTGCCCAGGAACGGAGCTGATGTCGCAGGATGGCATATGACGGCATAACGGCTGGAAAAATTGAGGTCCGTGTGCAAACCGGTGTGCAAACATGCCATATTTCGTATTATATCTCCTGCAAAAGAAATGGGTTGCCTGTCTTAGTGATGCAGAAATTCCATATTTCCACTTGTGTATGCGCTCGGGGTTCGAGCTCATCTTCTTGCCAGTACCTGCTGTACAGAGGCATTTTAAGATTTAGGGTTTAGGATCTATCAAATCGTAGCCGCCGATCCCTATGACGCAATACAACGACCCTCGGGAATAACGTCTCATTTCTTGATTTAGAAATTTTTGGAAGATCCGGATGAATGACAGAGCTCGAAATAAATGGCAAATTTCAAAATTCTTAGATGAGAATGATCGGAAGAAGGGAACCCGGAAATCTTCAAAGAATAAATAGGATCTTATATTTTTTTCTTATTTGGAAAGAAAATCGCTCGAATGAGAAATTTCGAGATATATTATTGTCGAGAGAGACCATAACATTTCTTATTTGAAATCAATGAAAGATAATCTAAATGATTGATATAGATTTGTTTTCAAATCATATTCAATTATATGAATCGCTACTAATAAATCTAAATTAAGAATTTGGATAGATATAGATAATCTAAATTGATTCCTCAGAGATCCCTTCCATTTGATCATCGGAATCTTTTTCGAAATATCTATTATAAATATAGTAGATTATATTGAATTCGTAATTATTTGGATGAAATATTATTTTAAAATCTTCTTGCGGACTCCTTAGGGACTGGAAAATCTCGGAGGTGTTAGGATCCATTAGAAAAGTTAGAAGGTCTAAAATCTCTCAGATTTTTGGCGTGGATTTTTGCGTGATATATTATTCTCTTTGATTATATGCGTGGTCGTTCGTCGGAATGATCAAATCTGAGATAATCGTATTTAGCAAGCGTTCTGTCGGTCCGTATCCGCGGCGCAATAATTAGTCTAAGAGAGATAAATGAAATAGAAATTCCGGATTGGAATTTTTGGATCGCAAGAATAAAAATCTCTTGAGATTTTAGATTATTGTTTTTCTCTTTTATTATCTGCATTCCTTATCTTCTGGAGCGATATTCCTCATGATTTATCTTTTTTTGATTGCATGCGCGGCTGGTCGACGCCATATGAAGACCCGGGACGGAGGCTCCAAATCTTTCAGAAATTTATACGTTGGTCGTATCTAGCTGCAGATATTTATACGCTACTCGGATCCGTTGGTTGTGCAATAACTCGGCGGAATCTATAGATCCGAGATGGAGAATTGAAATCTTTCAGAATCTATAGATTCGTCGTTTTTATCAACGCTAAAATTATTTCCCGCGGCTAGCAAGATCATCATTCATTATTTAGATTCTCTCAGAATGATTTGATGATATTCTCCCATAATATAAGCAGCTAATATACGGAGTTTCATGAAATATCAAGGGAATAGAGCCCCGAGATCTGCGCACAGGGAAGCAGAACCACGTCACGATTCAGAATTCGAATTGAAATTTTAATTTCATGCGTCCGTAGAGGATGATGCATATGAATATATATATAAAATGAGGGATAGCATTATATCATATCAGATTGCCTCTTCAAGAATATCTCGAGATGGACCCCTGCTTCTTGGAGGAATAATTTGGCAGATATAATAATGTCCCCAAATATATAATTCTTTCAACAGCTGCTAGCCTGATAGCCCTCAATTTCAAAATGTCGAGGATTCGGCATATCAAATTATGAGGACGTAGGATTTGGAGTTCTACGTATTTCTTTCTTCTATATCAATTCGCTTGCCGTTACGAATAGATTGCAACCACGAAGATCCGTTGTTATAAGTAGCGGATCCACTCTAGTTCTGGAATGATTCTGAAATCCGCGATAATTTCGTGATAGATCCGGGCAGTGGCGCGGTAATTATAATTCTCGTCAGCCAGCAATATTTCCCTTCCAAATGATCCGTCTTCTTTGAAAATAATATTATAAGCCTCCTGGCAACCTGCAAAATATAGATCATAATTTTTTCCTAGAGAAACGAATCTGGGGTTAATGATAATAATAATACGGGCGAGAAATTTCAGATAATTCTGAAGATCTAAATATAGAATCTTCGAAGATCATATATGGGGAAAGGCGATAGAGCCGCTTTTACGTTTGGGGCTGAAGATTTATGGAGAATAGGGCTCCTTGAAAGTATGAGATGAAGAGCAGCTGACATTACGCGCACGTCAATAAGAATTATCTTCGCATCAATGCAGATTGCGATTCCCCCTCATAATTCATTCGCGATAATTCGCGTCAATATAGAAGAATAATAAGATTTCGCGATAGATTGGCGTTGGGATCGGATCAATAAAATATATGATTATAAGATAATGATAGATACGAGAATAGAAGATTCAAAAGATCTAGATTTTAGCTCATTTTTTAAATAGATAGGGCGCATAATTCTTAAATAAAAGATCAATCTATTCGATAAATTATGAGATTGGAAAAATAATCTTAATATCAGATCTGATTATTATCTATTCGGATGATATTATATGATGAATTTGCGCGAAATGATAGCATCTCATGATCAAATCAAATTTCATATATTCTTGATTATTTGTCTAGATTAGATAATCTTATTCCTGGAAGATCTATTATTAATATCTAGAGAATCTAATATATCTTAACGAAAGAATATATCATAATCGACATTCGAAATCCGAATAAAGATTGAATTATAATGACCAAATCGATCTTTTCGTATCGAGATTATATTTAGATCATTAAAGAAATAATAGAAAATCAGAATATTTGATAATTTTGTTAATAGAAGAGGAGAATCATAATAGAAATTTATAAATATAATAAGAATAGATACGTATTAGAAGATGATTATCATTTTCGCTATGAAATCAATAATATTATATATGATACCTCATATTGAGATAAATTCTATATCTATTTGTATCATCGTCAAAGACGTATTCCCAAGAATATCATTAAATCGAAAAATTTTAATATTATTTCTTTATCAAATAATAAAAATCTTCAAAATGCGATATATCCATTATATCTATATCTTTTTTAAATATTAAAGAAAATTCGTCGATTCCGGCATTGATCGCCGCTCCACGATCTTGCCGTGCCGTCGCCATCCTCCGCGATCGACCCAGCCATCGCCGCCGCAGCGCAATCGCCACCGCCACGCCGCCCTGGCCCCGCCTCGTGCCCCCCCCCCCCACCGCCTCCGCCACCACCACCGCCATGGCCTCGCAAATTTCTATATTGACGTTTAGCTAGCAGCAGACGGTTGGCTAGCAAGTTGTTCACGACAAGAATATAATAGAGAATATTATATCACGATATAATTCAAACGATATATTAATTACGATCTTATATCAAAAGACCGTATCGAAGATCTCCTAATCTTCTCTAAATATATCGTCCCGTCGCTCCACGACCTCGCCGCGCCCGCCACCGCGACCGACCGCCCCTGACCCAACGCTCCCGACGGCCACCTGTCGTTACCGCCACCTCCGCCGTCCCCATTATCGATCGTCATCTCCGCGACCGACCGCCACGTATCATTACCGCCACCTCCACCGCCACTATCGATCGCCACCGCTCCGACCCCCCTAGCTAGCAATACATGATTGATTAGCAGATATACGATTGATTAATCGAGATCCTTCTTCCAAGATTTCCGAAATATTTCCCCACCCTCGCAATGGGGTTATGAGATTTTAAAGTAGATTTGTCCTCGCCCGACTGGAAGCTGACTTAAGTGACCAATCACCAAGTATCCCTACAATATCCGACCGCCAAGTATCCCTGCAATGCCCAACCACCAAATATCCCTGCAAGACTTAATAGATGCGCCCAGCGCAAAATATCCCTGTAGTGCCCAACCACCAAATATGCCTGCGGTTCCCAATTGCAGAATATCGCTGCAGTGCCCAACCGCAGAATATCCTTCTACTGCCCAACCGCAAAATATCCCTGCAATACTCAACCACTAAGCCCAATCGCAAAATATCCCCGCAGTGCCCAACTACAAAATACCCCTGCAATGCCCAATTATAGAATATCCCTTGAATTTCTAATCCCAAATATCCCTGCAGGACCCAACCGACAAATATCCCTGCGGCGACCAACCGCAGAATATCCCTGGAATGCCCAAGAATAGAATATCAATATTCAACGCATTTGCAATGTTATAAGGAAGATAATTGAGGGGGGGGGCGAGGAAACGTTATATTTCTTGAATATTAACGGCTTTAGGATGGAGATATTCGAAATTAATAATTTGGAAAATAGATGAAGATCATAATCTATCAAATATCTGAAATATTGATAAAAATATCTCGGATATTCTATGAAGAGACGATTTTTCACAAATTTATCGGATTTGAAGGAGATCGATCTACCAAAAAATTCCAGATATTTTGGAAGATCGATCTGACAAAAGATGCGTAGATAGAAGACGGAGGAAATCTTGGATATTTTTAAGATTTTAGCTGATTCTATAGGCGGATTACGATAAATAGAATAGAGAAAATTTTATGATACTATGATTTCAGATATAATTATCTACGAGTTTGAATCGAAAATCGTATCCAAGATCTGCTGACCTCCTTTGAATATCGCCCCCGATTATCTGCGATCTCGTTGTCGCCGCCCCCCCCTCCTCCTCTCCCATTATCGCCCGCCTTCCCGCCACAACCCCCCCAGGCACCGCCCCCGCCCCCCGCCACGTCAATTTATATATTCGCATTTAAATAGTTTTATAGGATTGCCTAATAAATATTTCTTATAGAAAATATATTAAATATAATAGAAATTATTATATTGCGCGTTGAGCTGCTCTACGACCTCATTGCGCCGCCTATCACGACCGCAAATGGCCGCCATTGCCGATAGCCATTGCCGTCCTATAGACGCAATTATCTACGGAGCAATGGATCCTATTCATCAAATCATTTCAAAAAAATATATAAATTACAAATTTTATAATCCGTATCGAAAATTTATATATCTACTCTAAATATCTATCATTCGATGATCTTGTTACGCCGTCCATAGCCTCCTATCATAACCACGACAATCCTGTAGCCGCCGCCATTTGCCGATATCATTCCCGACCGCCGCCGCCGCCGCCGCTGCCGCGCCCGCCAACCCCTCCCCCATTGCAACTAGCACCCTCCCCGCTCCCGCCAGCGCCGCCGCCACAACCACATAAATCTATCTATTTGCGTCATAGATACTATACAATAACTAGCAGATTATTTCTATAAATAATACGACGATTAAATTTCCCGAGATATTTCGAAAATCGCGGTCTATAAAATATTGCGGAATTAAGATATTTTAAGAAAATAATCCGGTCGTTCTACGAAGAAATGCAGATTTCGGAAATTTATCATATTTGCTAGCTCCGAATTTCCAAAAATTCCGAGATATATTTGAAATTCGCGAAAATATATATAAAAATAAGAGAGAATAGATCTATAATATTTATGAGATAAATAAATTTAGAATCAATAATCAATTTATCATATATTTTCATCATTTATCCAAATCTATCTAAATTCATTTGAAAATCTATTCTTACGAATGCCGGGAGTATCCCATATCAATCGGGGAGAATATGCATCTCCCTATGCAGACGTTGCGTCAGGGAAAATATATATGATTGGGAGAAATATATATCACGAGATATAAATCTCCAAAAAGACGTTGCGCTTTGAAGAGGCAGATAGAAGGCGCAAAAATGACGTTTATATCTCAGATGCTAATTAACGTTTGCAATATTTTTGCATGCGTTCCTATATCAGCAAATCCCCAAGTAGACGCTATATTTGGAAGAGTCAGAAAGAGTAAAAAACCATATCATCTACTAGCGGATTTTATATCAATCCCTGCGTATAATATAACCAAATATATGAAGATATTATCATCAATCAGAATTTCATAAGTATATTGTCCAATAGAGTCAAATCCATGAAGACGCTATCATCAACCAGAATTTCATGATTAGCTTATACAATAGCAGTTTCCCCAAATAGAGGCTAAATCCATGCAATGCGAGTCGGAATCAATATATCATGCTAAATTAATCAAATTGTATACAGACGCTAGCATAAACGTGATTTCTGATGACGCTGGCAAGTAGTGGCCATGCCCAAGAGATGAATTTCCCAAATAGACGCTCAATCGATATATGAAAAATCGGACCGATGAAAAATAATCCTATCACTTATAAATATTTATCGTATTCTCTAATAAATAGCAGAATATTCTCGGGGAAATATATTCGTAATGACAAGCGAATTGATATAAAAGAAAGCAATACGAAATTCCAAATCCTGAATAAGCGTCGATATTTTGAAATTGAGGGCTGCCAAATTAGCAGCGGTTGAGGGAATTGCCTACTCGGGGCATTACCATATCCTTCAAATTATTCCTCCAAGAAATAAGCGTCCATCGCGCGATATTCCAAGCAGATGATTTTATAGATCCCAAAATTTTGGAGAAATATCTCAGAATTTAATATTTTTTTCAAATCAATCATCCTAAAACGATCTACTTCTATTGTCCATATTACGACCGCTCATATATATAACCATCTACGGACCCATGAAATGTTAATTTCAATTCAAATGCCGAATCGTGACGTGGCTCTATTTCCCTAGCGATTAGAATTAGAATCCCCAAGCTCCGTATCCATAGCGATTAGAGCTGAGGGCCTCCATTCCCCTAATATTTTATAACGTGTTCTTATAAGAATAATCTTCCTATCTACGAATATATTTACCAATAATCAAAAATGAATAATCTACATATTCTGAAAGATTTGAATTCTCTATCTCGGATCTATATATTCCATTCAACTACTATATAACTAGCCAAAAAGAAAGAAATATTTCGAAAGTTTAGCCCCAAAATCTAATCTATCCGCTTCATCTATCTCTCTTAGAGTAATTGCTGTACGGCAGATCGGATCGGAGGAGAGCATAATGCCCGTATACAAACGCATCTAATCTATAAATTTCTGAAAGATTTAATGTCTCCATCTCGAATCTATACATTCCGCCGACCAGCCGCGCATAACAGCCAAAGAGAAATGAATATCGCGGAATTATCTTGGGGTTAATTGTTATACGGCGGCTCGGCAAACGCGGCTATGCCGGGTCTGCCCGTTCTGCCGAGCAACCACGCATATAGCCAAAGAGAGAAAAAATGACGTGAAAAACCGCTTCGGGAGGAAGGCTTGGAGATTTTTAGAGCCTCTAGCTTTTCTGAAGGGCTCTAAAATCTTCGGGATTTTAGAGCCCCTAGGGAGCCCGCAGGCGGCATTTTAGAGGTGAGCCGGAAAGGCTAGGCCGCGCGCGGTCGAAACGGCCGCAAGTGGCCGCGCCGTAATATTGAGATGTTTTCCAAGCTTCAAATCCTCTTCTCTCCTCATACTAGGGATGATCTCAATCGAAGAATATTCTAGAATATTTGTTTAATATATCGCCACAATAATAGGATATAATGGGAAATAGCGGAATAAAATAATCATTGTTGATTTCGAGCGCCCCCCCTTCCTAAAGCCACTATTGCGCAAGAAATATGATGTTTCCCGGAGGATTAGGGGGCGAGAATATTGCAGATTGTGGGGTGACAATGGCGTTGCGCATTGCAGGGGTGCTCTGCTGTTGTGAGCGTTGCAAGAATAATCTGCGGTTGCTGTTAGTCTTTGCAGGAATGTTCTGCGGTTAGGCACTGCAGAGTGCAGGGATATTCTGCGGTTGTGCACTGCAGGGATACTTGTTGGTTGGGTACTACAAGGATACTCTGCGATTGGATATTGCATGGATGCTCTACGGTTGCGCACTGCAGGATATTTGGCGGTTAGGCACCGCAGGCACACTTGGTGGTTAGACACTGCATGACTTTGTAATAGGCACTGCAAGGATACTCTACTTGGGCACTGCAGGAACACTTGGTGGTTGGGCGCTGAAGGGATACTCTGCGGTTGGGCACTGCAGGGATACTTTGTGGTTGGGTACTGCAGGGATGCTTGGTGGTCGGGCACTGCGGGGTCGCTCCGCGATTGGGCCCTGCAGTCAGGCTCCGGGCGGAGGGTGAGGACAACACAGACTTTAAAATCTAACAACCCCACTGTGAGGGTGGGGAATAATATTTCGAAGAAAGGGCAACTAAATATATCCGCAATCTTGGTCCGCCGCACTCATCCAGAATTTTCAGTCATTTTTGAATACCTAATTTGAGACCAGGTAAGCCGGCAGAAAACCAAAAAACATGTGCTTGAAAAATTAGGCTGCGCGCGAGCGAAATGGCCGCAAGCGACCACGCCGTTGTATTAAACTACTACAGTTCAAGTAGCCATGGTGAAGATCCTCGGGAAATCAAAATATGATCTTTTCCTGCTTCGTCGCCTGTTGGAACGAGATCGCCGTCTTCTTGGCAAGTCCTGACAGACCCAAGACTAAATCAGCCGTCTCAAAAAGAAAGACGATCTTACCAGGAGGCAGCTCCGTTCGGATCAGATGCCTTCCCCCCTCAAGCTTCTTCCATCGACCCGCAGAAGACCTTTACGTTAGACTGCCAATCTGCATGCGAGCAGAACTGTCCACGTGCGGAGCTTTTCCTTCCCAGTACCTGAGCGTCTGCGAAGTGAACATAAGGAACTTAGAACAGCCGTTGTGGAAATGCTTACGGCGCGCTTGGCGGTCACGTCTGTTCAAAATCAAGTGGCCAGCATGTGAAGGCACAGCGATAGCCCTCCGGAAAGTTGCCAGTACTCCTGTTTTCTGTGACCTCACATCAGATTTGTCATGATGACAGCTTCCTACAGATTTCCGCTGGTGTATTGGATTTGCACTGCCAGACTCGAGCCTCATGCTCGATAGCATCAGCCTCGAACAGAACCTTTGGATCCACAGGGCAAAGCCAACCATTGAGCACAATCCCGTCCTAAAAGCATGGCCAGCAAGAATGGAATCAAGCTGCCAGGGTATCTTCATCTGGCCTTGGACAGAGTCGCAGAGACGTCAAGATCAAACCAACTTCCGGCGGTGACTGCGGTACAGTGCGAGAAACGTATGAAGCAGCGCAGAAATCGTAAGCTGACCTTTTGTCCATCTCCCATCCATTATGTGCAACCCTTGAGCACGACATACCTGCACTTCCATCTGAAACATCAGCGTCAGGTCTAAAAACCAAGGCTGTGCTGGCTCGTAGGAGCTCAAGCGGCCTCAACAAACTACACGTACGTCATGCCCCCATTGCTCAGAAGACGCCACCTAGGCGGAGAGAGACCTCCAGGACTCCCAATGCGGGTTGTTCTGCTTTGAGAGCGCCTGCAGCCTGGGATGCACTGCATTTGCAGGGATTATGTAGGGTTATATAGGGAAATGTAGGTGTATCTAGGGGGTATATAGAGGGTAGCATAGGGTTGTAGAGCGCCTTCAGCCTGGCCTGGGATATTGTATTAGGCTCATAAAAGGACAATGGCAAAGATAATGGAGACTACTATGGATTCAGAAGACTTATCAAGGATTGAATGCTTCTGGCTGTGTAGACCATCTATTCGGAATTAGGGTCCATAATCGCTAAAAATTCTCCCCTAAACCCAAAACCAAGGAATGTCCCAGGAGCTTGTCCTTCACGGTCACAGTGCTTCCAGCTGGCTTCGCGCGCTCCCAGGCCTCCTCCAGGCCCTTCTCCTAGGCCAGCAAAAGGAATCAGGTTTTACCCCAAACCTTGCAAAATTAGGGGTACCTTATTTAGGGTCCCCATATTTTGCAAATTTCAAGCTGGGCATTTGGAACCCTCAAAACATCCCCTCTGCTCCCCCTTGCTGACCAGCCCAAAGCCCGGCCACTTACCCGAGTCAAGTTCGAGCAGCCACATACCCACCCACCCGCCGCACGTAGCATATCTTGCTTGGATACCTTGGGAATTATGAAGCAGCTCAGACATTCTGACAGCTCCGCTACGCCGCTGAAAAATAACTGGCAGCCCTCACATGTCTCGTTCCGGGCACAGTGCTTTTCAAAGGAGCCTTGTATGAGTGCTTCAGAAAAGCTTTTATTTCTACGGTCTGCACCCCAACAGCCGAGGCGGGCGCGTGATAGCACTTACAATTTGAAAGAACCATTGGGGGAACATGTTGGCAATATCTGAGAATCAGAGTCATACAGGCGTCTACCTTATCTTAAGAGGAGGCATGCCGGCTAAACTTCTCATCACAACAGCTGCTTTAAAAACCAACCCAGGTCTCGTAATCATCGGGGTTGACCAGGCCATCGAAAGGATCCTGGGAGTTGGCGAAGAGAGGATGCTCCCTCCAGGCATCTTCCATCTCCTGTGCACGCTTCGTGCCGGGCACCACGCGCCAGAAGGCATCATCCTGAAAAGAATAGAGGACGAACATGCCCATGGCAACGGCCGGGAACACGAGAGTTGTCAAAGGCACCAAGACTGCGGCAAACTTTCGCTGATCTCCATACTTGGCCTCAGCATCCTCAGCGAGCATCGTCAATGCCGGCAGAGCCGCAGAGGCGGCCACTGCTGGGTTGAAGTCGCTTCGAGGCTGTTGCTGTGGGCTGGGCACGAAGCAGTAGCGGAGGCCCAGGAGCAAAGCTCCCGCAACCAGCAACAGTCGTCCTGTACGCGCCATAATTAAAGGGAGATGTGTTTCTATCTGGACAAAGATGGGGGCTAGACGGCTGCAGAAGTGCAAGCACTGCTGGCATCCACAGCTTGCAATCCACTGACCAGCCTCATGTGCCTAAGTGGTAGCTTCCCTAAATAGGAGTACCTCAACATAAGCCCCCAAATACTCTAATCCTTACCAGTACCCCCCCTATTTTGGGAGACCCCCAGTTGCTGCATGCTGCGACGCTGCAATCCCAGTCACAGAATCTCTTCCACATCACCTTTGTGTGGCCAGCATCGCAGCAGAGCGCCATCCTTGCGTTGCCAGCCTTGCATATGGTAGTTTCCCAAAATAGGGGAACTTTTGCATACTAGAAGCCTTCTTATGGGGACCTCCCAAAATGGCACCCTTAATCATGGGAAACCCCCATATCTACAGCAGATATGGTTCGAGGCCGCCGGGAGATTCAAGGTGCGCAAGTTGAGTTATCACAGCATGATTCCCTGTTGGAGTCTCTCGTTGTAGCCCACCCCTGCTGATGCAGCATCTTTGTGACGTCATGCCGGTAGACAGGCTGCGACTATGTCCTTCCCATGTCTGAGACGTCATGGGGTACGCAAGGCAGTCATGTGAAGTCGACTATGTCTATGCCAAGTGAGCAAGGAATCATGTCACCGGCCTGCGTTCACGTAGTACCTCAGATCTGATGTAGCCACACTCAGCCTTTCTGAACTCCAAATCTTACAGGCTTGTGGCGCGTTCAGGGCTGTTGTGGGCAAGTGTGCGCATCTTCTTTCCCTTCTGTCTTCTCGCATCAGAAATCAATTCCTCAAGTTCTTCTTTGTGGTCAAGACACACAGCTGAGATTCTCCTGCCATCATCGCAGGGATTGTCCAGGTGTCGTCGAAACTGAGCTCCACAATCTGCATGGCAGGCACTTTGGACTCAGGGTGACGAACCATTGCCAGCAATCGTGTTTGATGCATTGCACAAGACTTGGCAGGCAACGTTGCAATCACCCCTGCCTGGTGGATAAACACTGGCCATTACCTCTCCGCGATCCAGTCGCTCCAGATTCGGGCGGAGGGCTGCCACTGTGGCGTCCAAGCGGGCCGTAAGGGTCCCGAGCAAAGACGTCCAGAGAGTGGCCTCAGTGGCAAGCAGCGTGGACAAGTTTTAGGAGCTACAGTCGATATTACCCATAGAATCCCATAGAATTAATGGACATGGGTCCTTATTACGGACTATAGCGACAGTAGCTCACATGAATTTGGAAGCTTAGGTCTTGCAGCATCATGGCTAGCCTCCAGACTGTTGAGACAAGATGCGGTAGGCACTTGGAACTCGTGCTCGTCTTCCTGACTAGAACTTCATGCCTCTTGCGCTGTAGCAGGCACTGATTGAAAAGACAAGGGGGCATCAACCTGATCTTTAAAAATGACCTTGCAAGTAACCTTGCAGTCTTGACTGTTGGTATCCCATTACTGTCAACTAAGGCTGACATGCTGTCGATGGAGGAAAACTTGCACCACCTTAAGTCCCTAAAGTCCTAGGAATTACAGTAGTTTAGGGCCCCTAGGTGGTGCAAGATTTCATCCATCAACAGTGGCATCTGCGGCAGGTGTTTGTAATTCTGTATCCTCACCTGCAAGCACCTCTGAAAGTGCTTCACAAATGCAGGCAGCCTCAATGCGTCATGTGCGGGTTTCAAAGCTTACAGAAATACTATGACCAATGATTCCGGTGAAGTTCCTGTGAACATATTTCAAAACTCTAAACCCTTAACCGCTAAATTTCGGAAACCCCCACTGTATTGCGTGCACTTTCATGAACCTGGCACCGAGCCGCCAACAGTTTCGAGCCCGCTCGTAGCGTTGCCTTTACAGCACCTGGCATACTAAATGATAGCGATAATGTAGTAGTGCCAGTACCAGTCTAGAAACAACTAGTAGTCTAAGCAAAGGGGAAATTAGAAGTAATAGTGATAGATACAAAATTGAAAGACTTCCAATCTATCACCATCAAATGATGGGACACAATATGGCTTATTGGGGGTGGCATGGTTTCAGTTTTGGAGCGGAACGGATGCAGAACGAATACATAAAACTTATAACATAGAGCTATTCTGCTTGCACGTTGAACAAGGGTAGGAAAAAGACGTGGTTGAACCCATGACTAGAACTGAACACGGATAGGATAGATTGAGGCGCGCTATAAAAATTGAATGGTCATGGCTTTTTGGGGGTTACATACAGGGATGATGTGCCTTTATAACTTCAGAAAGCCCAGGAATATTCAGTGAAGACGCATAAAACCTAAACCCTAAATAGTAGCTTCCATTTTCTTGTCCGTTATCCCTCTGCAACCCCTATATTACCCGCACACTCTAAACCCTCAAGTTGGGGTACTGCCCCCGCCCAGTAACAGTCTGCATCAGGGGTCCTATTAAGGGTTATATATAACCATATTACAAGTATTATCCAACTGTTACTGAGGGGGGCAGTACCCAACCTAAAGTTCATCTTAAGGCAGGGCCTTCACATCGGCGGCGTCTGATCGGTTCATTCACACCATGGGGGCCAAGCCAGGCCACAAAGTCCTCGGCTTCTGTTTGACTTGCTACCTCCTCGAAGGGTTAAGGGTGTAGGGTAAAGAGTCTAGGGTTCTAGGGTTTAGGCATTAGGCTTAATAAGTTTAGGGATAAGGCCCAAATAATGGAGGATCCAATGCAGAAGAACATGGACATGAATTGAAGACGGGGGTTGCGTAGGGGTTATATGAGAAGTATCTCCCCTTGCGTGAAAGCACCCAAACGCAGAATAGCAAACGTTCCCAATACATGATAATATACCATAGGATATTCACTATTGAATATCAGGGCGGGGGGTGGAGTTTTATAACATGTTGGGGAAAGGATTGCCTTTTCCTGTTGGGTCTCTGCACGGATCTGTTAAAAGACAAATCACCTTAAACCCTAAACCCTAAACCCCTAAACCCTAAACCCTAACTCCTGATCCCCGCTGGGTGTCGCCGCGAAAGCTCCGCTGGATGCCTCGGCCATCGCTGGCACCACCAAGAGCACCTCCCAGCACGAGATTTGCAGACCCAACTGTGCAACAGAATCTCCCCCCCTAACAGTATAGTCCCCCTTAAGTAGATAGAATATTAAGGTTCTATTGGGGTTATGTAGGGATAATGGAAAAGAAAATGGAAACTACTATTTAGGGTTTAGGGTTTAGGGGTTATGGTCTCCCTTAAGTAGATAGAATATGGGGTATATGGGGATCTTATTATAATATATCCGAAGCCATATTCTATAGAACTCCGAAATATCGAGTCATTGCATATCAGGGGCAAGATCTACTATTACGTAGAGGATCAGTAAAGCCAAACCTTGCGGCTCAAGTTGGGAAGCTGACTTCGCCCCGTTTAAACCCCAAACCCTCATTCTTAGCTTGAATTGCAATGGGGTTTAAAGTTTAGGGGTTTAAGGTTTAGGGCTTTAGGGTCTATAGTCCCCCTGAAATAGATAGAATATGGCTTTGGGCATACTATAATAAGATACCCATATACACCATATCCTATCTACTTAAGGGGGCCTACATACCCTAAACCCTAAACCCTAAATAGTAGATTCCATTTTCTTTTCCATTATCCCAATATAACCCTACAAAATCCCTGTATTCTATCTACTTAAGGGGGACTATATCCCCAACTTAAGGGGGACCTATAGGGTTTGCAGGGACGGTCCTGGAGCCATGCCGCCATCTGCGAAGAGTGCCAGGGAGGCCCTTCGCAATGCTGCAGCTGTGCCGTCACCTTGGGTCAGGAACTGTTTAGGGTTTAGGGTTTAAGGGTTTAAGGTTTAGGGTTTAGGGCTTTCCTCTAAATTCTTGCTTTACTATGACTACTATATCGTTTTTGCTATTGTTATTTATATTATCAATTCTATTACATATTCTTGCCATTATTATACATGTTTATTCTTGATGTAGCCGTTTGTAGCGAAGGAGGTCTTCAAATGCAAGGGCCAACGTTCCAGCCTGCAACCCTAAACCCTAACAAACCTTGGATGCAGCTGGATTCGTTGCTGCTACCTACCAAAGTTAGGGGCTCCCTTGTAAAGGGGTTTTATAGGGGCATATACGGCTTATAAAGGGTTTTAGGGTTTCCCAAATCTAGGGATACCTTTTTGGAGGTTCCCATATCAAAAAAATTTAATCTTTTGGGGTCTATATTGGCGTCCCCTTTTTATGGAAAATATCATGTAAGCCAAGCTTCCCAAGAAGTTCGAAATAACGCAGATGCCCCTGCGTGCGAAATCCTGACGCCCGGCAGAAGCAACCGCATTGACTTGGTAAGCTTTTGCCTTCAAAATCGCTGTCAAAAGTCAGAGTGTCAAGTGAGTCTAGAGCATTTGGTTGGCATGGCAGGATGTCAACAGAGTACCCTGAAACACGTAAATCTCTATATCACTAAACTCTAGGGGCTCGTATGTATTGGGATCTTCGTAGGATGCCGACCCACGCACTGCATCATAGTACCACTGCTGCTGCACTATTACTACAACTAGTATTATTTTTTGATTCGTGCAACTATTACTACGATTACTACATCATACTATGACCCTCAAATGAGCTATAGTCTGGACTCTTAGTATCCCCCTTAGTAACCCCCACAGTAGTCCTATAACCCCCCTTAAGGAGTTGAGACTATGACCCTCAAATGGCCTTTGCAAGGCTTGGCCACGGTCCGGGTGCAAACTGCTTGCCTTGGCATGACCAGCAGTGCAGCTGATTCTAAGGTTAGAAGTATGGCCCCTAAGATGAGCCGCTAAGCCTTTTAGGGGGATTCCAGTGACCCTTAATGGTACATGTAGGGTATACAGTAGGTATATAAGGATCCCATGGTTAAGGGCCATACTAGGGGCCCATGGTTTCAACCTTAGACTGATGTTAGGATTGGAACAGTTGGAACTGTGGACCCTGCCTTCCAGGCTATCTCCAACATCGGCATTTGAATCCATGCTTTGTTTCTGCTAGGCTATGATTCTGTTTGCTTGTGGCAGCAGATTTTGGATGGTCCATAGCAAGAAGGACCTCTCATCTCTTGACCGCGCCTGCTGTGCTGTCAGGGTGCTCAGCATGTGGGTTGTTCCCAAACACGGGCTGCCTTTTGGTAACCCGAAATTTTTCGTGCCGCAATACAATCTATAACCCAAAGGGGCCCACAATTTGGGGAATGGCTCATGCATGTATTTTGGTGAGCCAGACAGCTGTCGGCATACTGCTGTCGGTCGGAACAGGCATCTGAGAAGACCTACGCATTAGGCTCTGGCATGAAGTTGCTAAACATACTGCTGGCAAGGAGTGAGAGAGTGGATCCCTATGGAAACTGTTGGCTTGTACTATACCTCCCATATTCCCTACTACCCGCCAGGAAGCCTAAACCATGCCCTAAACCAAACCCAAACCCAAAGCCCAGCATTTTGCACCTAGCCGTCTGAATCTAAGTCCAGTGGTGCTCTGCCAGGCCTGACCAAAGCACAAAGCAGGTTAAGCAGGTTATGTGGTTAAGTTTTAAGATTTAGGGTTCTAGGGTTTAGGGTTACATATCGGGGTTGCATGGTGTCAAGAAACGGATCTTAGCCACCCCAGAAAACAGGACAATCAACAATCAAATGGATAAAAGGAGTTGGGGTTTAGGTGACAAATTGTTGCTTCTCTGACTTGTCCTCTAGGGTGTACAGCTATCCACAGCGAAACTTATATTATGTGCGGGATCAGAGCATCCTTTGAGCAAAACTTCAGGCTGCGCCTCAGAGGCGGCGGGGCGTCCAGTGCCACTTCAACGTCGCTGTCCTCCTGCGGATGCAACTCTGCCAGGTTTCTCGGTGACAAACCGTAAAAAGTCAAAGCGCCTCTTCTGCTTGAGTACTTGCTGCAGGGTCCGCAGCTCCAGGTGCTTTGTTGGCAGCAGTCTTCATTGCAGGCTGTTTTGCCTTTGGACGAGGGCGCTTGGCGGCCTGGAAGTCTGAACAACCCAGAGCTGCGTGATTGCCTTCATGTATCTCAGCTCAGGGCAGAAGCCACGGCCCGTTTGAGCTCGATCTCTGGAGCTTTACCTTCAATTCATGGCACGGTCTGGATGCCTGAACATAAGTAGTTGCTTTTGCCGCAGGGCCTGTCTGCAACAGCTCAAGAAGTGGACCTCGATGCTCCTCCCCAAGCGCTACACAGCATTCATACTTTGCTACCTCGAGTCAGGCAATCCTCGTTGATGTCGTCTAGCCCCTGCACAGTTGACAAGACCTGGAGCGAAACACCCGAAGCCAGCTTGAGTGAGGCTGCTTCCCCATGCCATGCCATGCTTGAGCTGTTGGATGGTGCAGGTGAAAGAAAGCAGCGGGGCCGAATTGCGGTCAGTAGCGTACTTCAGCCTTTTTTCAGCGCTGCCTCAGATGTCTGGAGAGCCCAACCTCAGTACATGCTTTTGCTTGGGAAGATCTTTCAGATCAGCATCACGCACTGAAGGTCCGGACCATCTGGAGATGCAGTTGCCCCAACATCATGCGCTATTACGTAGGTCTTCGTTGCAAAGGCCCCAAAGGGGCCAAGAAACCAGAACCTACGTGACACTCCCGATCCAAGCTGAACCAGAGCTGACCTACTCAGCTGAAAAGCTTGCAACTCTACTAGTCCTGAGATGATGGCAATAGCCATGTGAATCAGGAAGTGGCTGTCTACTTCTAGGTGAGGCGATGTCTTGAATTCTAACTGTGCATCAAGGCGTGTTGTTTTTTTTCGCAACGGCTGCTACTTACTGCCAGCGCCGATGACCATCCTAGTACAGCATGCTAGCGATGGGCACTACGCTACACATTGCAACGGCCTTTGCCGCAACTCCTGCTGAGCTGCTACTGCAATGTTTCGCTCCAGAATGTGCAAGGGTGCTGCTGCTGCTGCGGCTCTGAAAACATAGGAAGCTTGGCATAACGTTTATCATCTTTCTACAGCCCAAGCCCTGAACCTTGATGTCTCCTCCCAAGATCCCGACCTGCAATGAAGATGTCATTTACAAACATCATCGCAGTCTGCTCCAAGGGTCCTCAACCCTAGGTCCTACAGCCTAAACCCAAATTCTAGACCCTACTCTGTCCGGTCCAAGGGCCAAGGGTCCTGTCCTAAACCCTAACCCCTCAACCTTAAACCTTTGAATGCAAAGCCCTTAACCCTCAACACCTTAAACCCTTACACCACGAAACTCTGGTCCAGGGGACTTCATCTTCAGCTGCAGCTGCCGGGCGTACTCGCGCACGGCCAGGCCTGCACCGCTACAGCGTGCCCGGTGGAGGCGCACCTGAGGCCCCCCCTGGAAATAGCCTAAGGGTTTAGGTTAAGGATAAGGTTTACGGCTTAGTTTTTTTTGTTGCTGCGCCTCTTTCTTTCGACCCAAGCACGAAAAGCCCATCAAGGCAGGCGGGCTCCCAGCTGTCCAGTCAGAAAGGTTTTGAGGTTTGTGCCTGGGGTTTAGGGTTTAGGGGGAACTACAGGTGTAGAGTGGAAAACAACATGGGAACCATTGTGAAAGTTGGTGTTAGGGTTTGCCGGGTTTAAGGATTGATACTTCCCCCCAGCAGTACTTTTGCTATGCATAGTTTGAGCTCCACACGTTGCGCATTGCTAAGTGCTTGATTATTTGTGGATGTGGCTGTCAGTCATTATAGCTATTCCGCATCTTCTCATCGTGGCCCCTCTCACTCCCATTTCATGGCTCGGTTTGAACATGACGCTCATGGTGGTTATGGTTGTGATTTCGTTCGCAGGGCGTCAGTCCCTGCCAGTTTGCTACGATTTTCATGTGCTCTAGCAAGGAGACTAGCACGTCATCGTGCAAGCAGAACAGTGGTGTCTTCTTCTAAGTTGGCATGGTCAGGACGGGCCCCAAACCCTACCCTAAACCATGAACCCTAAAGCGAGGATGGGCCCCAAACCCTACCTGAACCCTAAACCAAGTGGTGAGGACAGTCTGTGAGAGAACAGGTCGCCTTACAATCAGATAGCCGTCTCTTCGGCCATCTTCAACCCATAAAGCTTACTTGAGCCATAGTCTTAACTCCTAGCATCTCCCTCAATATAGGTGTATATAAAGCTATATAGGGGTTAAACACGCATAATGGAAAAGAAAATGGAAGCAACTGTTTAAGTATGTGAGCTATAGTAAAAACTCCTAGTATCTCGCTTGATATCCCCTATATAACCCATTATATTAAGCCCCTTCAGGAATTTAGACTAAAGCTTACATGTTCAATCCTGCATGCAGAGTGCAGACTGGACTCTGTCTCCGGCGTGCCTAGGCACCTCTTCACTGTGGTACCTGTTGCGGCAGGGCACACAGGGTGACGGTTCAAGGTGTCTGATTGAAACCAAAAATGGTTCCTAGATACGCGCCAAGCAAATAATATCCAAATAAGCCTGTCTATGCTTTTGGGTAGCCTTGGGCCCTGCCCACGAATCTACACAAAAGTAACCCTATCACATCTCTAGGTGAACACTGAAAACTAATATCCTGAACCCTAATGAACATGTGAACATGGCACATTCCATTTTCTTTTCCATTCTCTACCCGTCCCCTTGAATACCCCTGTGCCCTAAATCCTAATCACATCCCGAAACCTCAAAGCCCATGCTGACTCCTCCCTTTCCGGCCTCCAGGGCCGGCTCGGAAGAGGACCGGAGAAGCTGGACAGGGGGCAAATTTCTTACCCTCTAATAACTAGTGTTTAGGGGTTAGGATTTAGGTGGTTTTAAGTTTAGGGTTCAGGGTTTAGGGTTTAAGGTTAATACTTATCCTCCCGACTCCCCTAAGTTCCCTAGAAGTTTACGTTAGGGATACATAGAGATGGGGGTTTAGGGATGAGGGAGTAGGGTCAAGGGTACGGATATTTTGGGATTAGGGTCTAGGCATTTGTGATTAGGGCTGATGAGGGATTAGAGTCATTAGGGGTATACAACCCCAAATAGTAGAGAATAATGTGGAAAAGAACATGGAAAGGGCTTATATAATGGTTTGTAATGACCCCCCAGTAACCCCCCAACAATGAATATCCCCAATGTCATACCATTGCCCAAGGTAGTGAATTTTCATTTGTTCACTATTAAGTGTGCTTCGGGTGGAGGGACAAGTTGAAGCTACCATGGGTTTGGGGGCCTACGCTGGGAACATACTGTTGATGGATGATATCTTGCACCACCTAGGGGCCCTAAACTACTGTAGTTCCTGGGACTTTAGGGACTTGAGGTGGTGCAAGATTTCCTCCATCAACAGTATGTACTGCTGTAGGGGCCATATAAAAATCCACTCCTTCACTCGCCTGAAACAGTAACAGCCGTCAAGGTATTACAAGGTATCAGTAGCAAGTTTCGCATTTCAAGGGAGGGGGGGTGTTTCAAGTTACTCTTGATGGAAGAACTCCTGCCCTGCGCTGATGACCAAATTGCCTCTGGGAATACCTGTTTTTCGTGCATCAGGATCAAGGAATTGCAGTATCAACAGCAGGACACTAGGTGGTGCAAGATTTCCTTCATGGTCAGTATGATTACAAGGGATTTGGTTCCAGTTCTGCAAACAGTGGCTTCCAAGGCAACACAAAAATAAAATTTGCCTTGTAAAGGTAGCTTCTGCTTCCTCTTACCTCCTCGTACAGTCGGGGCTGAATACCTAGAACAGGGCCCTGAAGGATTGGTGACACGCAGTCACATACACTTGTGCCACTAGTACTTGCAAACAGTGTGACAAAACGAGTTCTTGTCTTCGGTTTCAAGGGCGGCTTGTTGAGTGAAAAGTGTCCCAGGTTTAGGGAATCAAAGTCACGCTCAATATTTCCAAAAGAAACGATCCAGGCAATACATTAAAAGCTATCCTAAACTATACGGACCCAATTGGTATCCCTAATTTTGAGACAGTAGCTCACATAACCCCTGTAAACCACCGTATACTCCCAGTTTCCATGTTATTTTCCATGTTCTTTTCCATTTGATTCTCCCTTATAGGGAGTAATATACCCCCAAGCCCCTTTCTTCCTTAACCCTAAACCCTAAACCCTAAAACCCATGCATCGCGTTGAGCTGGACCTGGCGTAAGAGTGCGACAATCTGCCAACGCTGACAGCGGCACTTCCAGGTCAGGGCCTCAGCAGCTGCTCAGACTTCCTAAGTACCCAAAGGTTTAGGGTTTAGGGGTTTAGGGGTTTAGGGCTTAGGGGTTTAGGGTTTAGGGTTTAAGGTTTTTGGGAGCCCATAGACCCATCATTTTGGGGATTAAGGCCACTAAAACCCTGAACCCCTAAACCGTCTTTGGAGGGTCTCGGCTGCTCCCATCTTTCAACAGGAGCTTTCCTTGCTCAAAGTGTCTACATGAAGCATGGGCCAAAACTGTCAGAACCTGCTACATCACGTGCAACTCGGGTCTCCAGGAGTAAGAGACTTACTGGCGCTTATTAAGGGAGAGTGGTGCGCTGGATCCTCACAAAGATCCCTATGTACTCCCCGTATATACCCTTACGATAGGCCCCCCTTTAGCACCAGTAAGAAGGAGGCCTGGGTCAGGTTGGGCCCCCACCCACTAATACAGTAGTGACCATAGGAGATAATGGTAGTAGTTATATTGGGGCCTCTCCTAAATCCTAAAAACCTAAACCCCATATTCCATTCCTAGTATACTACTACTAGGGGATGGCGGCCTAACCCTAAACCCTACACCCCCAACCCTCAACCGCTAAACCCCAACCACCCAAGGCAGGGGCCTGTTCCGAACAACGAAATGACGCCAACCGACATCTGGTGGTTCCATGCCTCGCTGTTTTAGGGCTTTAGGGTTTATAGTGGTTTGGGGTATAGGGGTTAGGGTTTAGGGGGTTTAGGGTTTATAGTGGTTTGGGGTTTAGGGGTTAGGGTTTAGGGGGTTCAGGGTCTAGGAACTTAGGGTTTAGATTTTTCAGGGTTTGGGGCCATTAATGGACATAAACATTTCTGTAGGGATTATCTAGGGGTGATACAGGTATGATGCAGGGGTTATACAGGTTATACATGAGGATTATTTGAGCTACAGTCAATCTTTCCCCATATGTTGAATGGTCATGGGTTCCTTATGAAGGACCCTATTAGGGACTACACCCAACTACAAGAGGGACCCAAACACTGTTACGGGTCCCTTAATAGGGCCAATATTGACAGTAGCTCAATGAATTGGGGTCGTTCCCCCTTACAAAAACTGTCCTTAAAGGGGGTTATACTAAGGGGCTATCTAGAAC